GTGGAGATCTAAGTGGGTTAGGTCTCTGGCTGGGGAGTTAGAGGTTGGGAGTTCGATTCCCCCCCCCCCAACTGGGCCTCCTGGGAGAAGAGCCAGCCTGGGTAGCCTTGGGCCAGCGGCACAAAGTCCCAGGGCTCCCTCCCAGAAGATGGGAAAGAGAAACCACTTTTGAGTCTTCTCTGCCTGGGAAACCTTGCAAAGGGTCGCCACAAGTCAGCACTGACTGGACAGCAGATGATCAAGATGAGGGTGCCACTTGTACCATGATGGGTGGCCATCGAGAACGAGGCCTGAAGGTTCTCCCACCCGAATCGAGAAGCGAGGCTGAGGCTACACAGACCAACCCAAGCTTCCCTTGATCCCGGGTTCCTTGTGGGAAAAAGAAGCGGACCAAGAGGTCCTGAAGGTCAAGGGAGAAGTTAAGCCACTGACCCCTCGATCCACTTGCAGGCTGACATGTCCCCTGACATCTTCGCTGTCTTTCTGCAAGCTTGCAAAACTCTTCAAGGAAGCTTTTCCCGCTGAATTCTTTTTAAAATATTGGTATACTTAACTGTTTTCTAAGCTTTCGCAGGCTTTCTTTTTAACAATGTCAGCTGCCCTGGGTCCCCTTTCAAGGAGAAAAGTGGGGGTAAAAGGATTTTAAAGAAAGCAAACCGTGGTTGGGAAGTTTGCCAGACCACGAGACGCCCGTCCTGAAAGAGGAAAGATGTTCTCGGGGTGTTCCCGAAGAACGGCGTCGAGTGCTAAGTCAGACTTCCGAACTTCCTAAAGCGGAACCTGGAATCTGATACTTGAGCCAGCTTCTCCCACTTGAATACAGAACTGATCGCCTCCGTTATGTGTCTTTAGCATAAGCGTTTTGCCATCGCATGCTTTCCATTAGAAGTTGGCCGAAAAACAGATGAAAATGCATATTTAATGTAATTTAATTAAAACATTAATGCCGTCTATAAAGTGTTCCTTTTTGTTTACATCAGGCTTGTTATGAAACCAATTAAGGACAGTCGGATCGCCGTATCCATGGGGGATCAGTTCTAAGCCCGCCCCCCAGCGGATGCTGAAAAACATGGATCATAGCGAACGCTATACATAACGTGGTCTCTGGCTCCCCCTAGTGACCAGTTCTGATAACTTCATTGCTGAAAATATGTATTTCTAGGTTTTTTCTTTTCATATTTTCAGACTGTGGATAAGTGAATCCGTGGATAACAATCCCACAGATAAAGGGGGTCCTACTTTATAGCATTTATATAGGAAAAGAAGATAAATCTGAATCCAGTGATCCATCAATGGTTTTCCTACTTATTTCCAAAGAAAAGAGGAAACGGGATCATGTTTTGGAGAGGCCAAAAGCAGCTACAGAAAGGGTATGGCCCAGCCTCCTTCAAGCGGAGGGACAGTACGTACATTGCCACCACGAGCCCTTCCTGGATCAGTGCAATGCACAAATACCTGCGCCGTGGCAGGTATTTCGCTAGTTAAGAAAGACGACGCGACCGCTTTTCTTTCCTCTCACGTCTCCTTGTCTTGAGGCTGGCTACCTCCTGGGCAGAACTTGGAAAGATGAGACGTCCCACGCATTTCCAGGTTGCCGCCGGAGCAGACGGTAGAACTTTTTCTCCCGCCGCTAGAGAAAAAAGAAGTTACTCGCCGTTTTCCCTCGGCCCTTTTGTACTCCTGCCCTCTCCTCTCCTCCTGGTCAGCATTAATATCCTATCCTCCCTGCTCGTGTTCTCCGGGCGGGCGGGTGATGGTCGACAGGCAAACCTCCTTTTTGGTTCAGTACAAGATTAAAGGCAAAGAGAACAGGAGGGAATAAAACAACAGAAAGAACGGCATCCAGGCTGGCTTTTCCCTCGGTGTGTATGTCCCTGCATCTCCTTCGTTAGGTGGACGTGCGCGGGGTTTTGATCGGTTCTTCCGCCTCGAGCACTCTTGCACTTTGAAGCATTAAAATACAGGAGATGATCCCTCCGTGCCGGGAAGCTGTGCGGTCTAGCCAATGTGGGTTACACCAAGAATGATTTAATTAAAAGGAGGAAAAAATCATTTATAGAGAAGAGGGGGGGCTTTTCAGTGAGATTAGCTAACGATGCAGACAAGGGAGCATCGTTTGCTGGATCGGGGGCAGCGGACGGTCTTACGCATAAACACAAATACGTAATGTTTTAGGTCATCTGTGTATCTTATCTAAGTACACAAATGGCACTACGCACCGAATAAATGTTGTACAAGCCACGTTTGCCTGGACCTCCCTGAGAACTGCAGCCCGGATTATTGCTCCGTTAAAATGAGCGGCCCAGAACGAACGTTCGTGGACTGCGTTTGCTTTTCTTCTCTGGACAAGAAGCGTGTGCGAGGAAAATCTCTCGCACGCCACATAACACACACACTTAGGCCCACACACACAGTAGGCAGCATAAGGCAACGGCCTCAGGCAAACAGAAGTTTATGTTAATTGTTACAACGCAAGAGAAAGCCCCAGTGCAATGCACGAATACCCTGAAACCGGCAAGACGCGTTAGTTCCTTAATTAGAAGTGCTTGGGGGAAATGTCCTCTCCGTGCCAAAACAATCCGGCCAGGATTCGGAGATGCGGCGCCTCGGCTTGGGTAGCTAAAAGGGGTACCGACGGCTGCTGTGCCTCAGGCGGCAAATCCCCTTAGGCATGTCTGCGGAGATGCCCAAAGACCCCTGAGTCGCTTCGTTGAGCGTGCTTGCCAACGAAAAGAAGACACGGAAAGCCACCTACGAAGGTTCCTCGGGCAGCGACCTCAACGCATTGCTCCATCAGAAAGGGCTGAGTAGAGGAGGACCCCATTATCCGCTGAATCACTATCCGCTGACATTTCACCGGTCTTTTCTAAAAAAGGAAGGACATATCCCACTTTCTGACTCACACAATTCTGGATCCCGTTACCCCAAACAGTTTCACCAGCCATCACTCCCTTCCTGGACCCAATTCTGGTTACTTAAAAAAAAGCGTTCAGCGAAACCCTTCCTGGGTTTGACCCAAGCTATCCGAGAGACCGAACTTTTGTCTTTAAGAGCCTGCCCAGGCTCGGAGATCTTTAAGAGAAACCCTTCTCTGACCGCCATGACTCTCACACCTTCATGGGGAAGAGAAAGAGGGCCTTTTCGGTGGTGGCTCCCAAGCTGAAAATCCCCCCCCCGAGGGAAGCCAGACGGCCCCTCGGTTCAGCAGACCAAGACCTCTTGACGCCAGAAGCTTTTCGGCAGCTGGCCAGCTGCTGGGAAAGGCTCTCTGACAGCCCGGCGCTGAGATTTTGTTTTGAATTGAGTTTTTAAATTGCTTTTGGATGGAATGGGTTTATTTTTCGTCAACGTTCCGGTTTCTTTAACTGAGGTTGAACCGTTACAGTTTCAATTCTTCTTGAGTTTTGTCTGTTTCTATCAATTCTGTTAGGATTTGCCTTTGATCGCAATCCTAAAGGGGAAAGCTTGGGTGCAAATCAAATAAACAAATTACACCCAAACAGACAGAAAATAATCTCCACGTATGCTTTTCAAACACACCGCTCGGCTCCCAGGTTTGTGACTGTTTTGCATTTAAATCTTGGTTACCTCTCTCAGCAAACACGGTGTTTGATTCTCATCCCACTGCCCTCCATTTTTCTGAAATCTTTTCTAAAACTTGAGACTGGAACCCCATAGTTTCACTCTGGCTTTGGGAGGGGGGGGGGAACGTGATCCTTTTTTGTTCTTACTCTCATGTTTTTCCAATCTGAGCATCCGGACAGATGATCATCCTCAGCCACTCACTTCTAACCTACACATTCCACCCCCCAAAAAATGCAGATCATGCTCGGCCAGACAAAAACCTTTTTTAAATGGGGGGGGACAGCAATCCTATTGCATCTTACCACCCTAAGGGAAGCAATATTCTCTGATCTTCCCAGATAACCTTAGAGTGGGGGAAATTCTCTTCCCCCCCCAAAGCTTTTCCAACCTCTTTTGGGACAGAGCTGGGCAGCTAGAATTTTTAAATCATGCATGAACCCCCAAATTATAAATTCATCTTTACAAAGTTATTTCACTTGGAAGGTTCGAGAAAGCGATCCTCCGCTTCTCGGTTCTGCCGAGTGTGACAGAGAAGCTCCACAATATTGGGAAAATCATCTTTTAAAAGGGGACATCGAACTGTTTTTTATTGCCTATTTTCTCTCAAAACATAATGTAATTAAAACGTACAACTTCCCCATCCCTTTCTCTTTCTGGGGGGGGTGGGGGAATCTTAACATCTTGAAACTTCAGCCTGGTAGGGAGGAATTATTTATAAACAGAGCCATCGCAATGTGCTCTGGTGCCAACATTAATCAACTTCTTCAGCCTGCTTCAAAGCAAAATAAAAAAATAATAAAAAGAGAGAGAACCTTTCCATCTACAGATCCTTTTGAGGTTTAAGTAGGAGCACGATTTAAAATTCACAAGAAAACCCCAAGGTACTGAAGCTTTAATACACAGCTTTCTTGGACAAACGTTTGATAAAAAAACGAAACGTGCCATTATATACACCGTATCACGCTTTAATATTGCCCAGGGCTACTGTAAATGCTCACTTTGTACTAAATCTGATTTTTCCTTCTGCTTTAGAGCTGGCAGCAGGCGTGGAAAAGCGGGAATGAGCCCGGTTTACTCATTTGCACACAGGTAAAGCTCTTCACTGTTTTGGTCCCGCAACATACGAGGAGGAGGACAGGAAAAATTTCCAGGAAAACCTCCAAAGTACTGCTTAACCTCTTCCCACAGGCATACGGTTCCCATTAGTGAGCCAAGAGCCATCATCCTGCAGAGAGTTAACGGGTGCAAAGCCCACCAATGTCAGCTCGCTTTTTCTTGGATCGTGGCCGACGTGCAAACCACCCGAACGGCAAGACGGTCTGATACCACCTTCCAAATAAGACATTCCAGACTAAGAAGCCTTCTTCGAAAACTCGGAGCCCGACTGAGATGCAATTTTGCTCTCATATAAATCCACATTTCCCATCCAACTGCTACCTGATTCGGTTTCTTTCTGCCTTGTGCATCTTCTGAAAAACATCGGGATTCCACACGGCTAACGTGAAGGATGCTGCATTCCCCCCCCCCACACTTTACTTACTAAGATCCTATGCATTCAGATCCATGCTATTTTTGTTCTCTCTTGCCAGAGTGAGACCTTTCACAAAAGCCAATTTGAGGGATACGAACTACACAGTTCTCGCATCCCCACTTTAAACGCATCCAGGGATCTAAAAACAAGAGAGGCCCATAG